GAGCAGGGCATTCTGCAGCTGCCAGCCCCGCCAGCCAGCAGGCCCTAAGCGTAGGCAAGTGCTGAGTCACTGGAATCACGGCTGGCCAAAGCCATTCAGCCAGGCCAGGCAGCTATGAGCAGAGCGCTGCCTGCAGGATGGTGTGACCCCAGTGACCCGACTTGGCACCCCCCAAGAGCACCGACCTGCAGCCCCCCGCCAGCGCGCTCGCTTGCCCCAAAGGTCCCTAGGCACTGGAATAAAAACGCCTTTTCAAAGCTCTGCTTGGCCTAAGTGTCTCTGCTTTGGGCGAGGCCCGCAATGGAGCCCGCCTCCCTGGTATGGCAGTGGGTCAGACCTCGCCCACCAGCAGGCCCGGAGCCCCGCCGGCCCATGGAACCAACAGACGTCTGATCCTTTTTACCGCCCTAGCTAGGCACCTCCAGCCTCAGCTGCGCCCCCCTTGCCTCAAGCCCTGCCTGGCTACTGGGGCTTCCCCCGGGGCACAGAGCATGACCCCTCGTGCAGGGGAAGCACCAAGTCAAGGGTTCACGTTCATAGCCTGCCCCACCAAGGACCCCTGGCCCCGTCCTGCGGGGCCCATGCCCGTCTGGTCTCATTAGCACCCTGCTGCTGCTGCCTGCCATGGGGCCAGGGCAGACCCCCTGCTCTCCAGCCCCAGCAGGCCAGAGTGCAGAGAAGCTGTGCTGGTCCCTGCGATGCTGCGCTCCCGGGGCTCTCGTGCCCAGGAGCATGTGTCAGGGGGATCACGCCCCCAGGAAGCCCGTCCAGTCTGTGGTGAGGTGCCCACATACGTGACTCCTGCTTCAGGTGCCCGGCAGGGACGTGCTGAGTGAGCTGGGTCCCTGCCTGCAGCCTGCATGGAGCTTTGTGCCGGCATCAGCCAACGTGATGCAGCATCTTCCCCCAAGTCCATGTGGCCTGAGGCCCAGCAGCCGCAGGGGTGGAGGGAGACACTGAGGCAGACTGGGCTCACGGCAGGGTCAGGCACAGAACCACAGTCCCTGCCGGCCTCGCACCAGGGAAGGCAACGGACCGACCAGAGCCCTGGGCCAGGGAGCTGCCTTGCAAGGGGCATGGGGAAGCCAGCCTGGCCCAGGCCCGGTCACAGAGCTAAGTGGTTCCCAGGGCTCGGGGGCTGCCCTCAGCCTGCATCTCTCCTGCACACAGCCCCAGGCCTGGGGCAGAGATGGGCAGCCAGAGAAGTGGCACAGACTGCATGCAGCCCAGGGCAGCCCCCCATCACAGGGCCAGGCAGCACACCCTGGTCCTGCTGTGCCAGGGGGCTGGTGCAGCTCCATGGGCTGGAGGAGGGTCACTCGGCGTTGCTCCGCATGGGCTGCCCCTGGGTGCTGGGGGTCTCCTCCCCAGCCCAGGCCTGGGGCAGAGATGGGCAGCCAGAGAAGTGGCACAGACTGCATGCAGCCCAGGGCAGCCCCCCATCACAGGGCCAGGCAGCACACCCTGGTCCTGCTGTGCCAGGGGGCTGGTGCAGCTCCATGGGCTGGAGGAGGGTCACTCGGCGTTGCTCCGCATGGGCTGCCCCTGGGTGCTGGGGGTCTCCTCCCCAGGGGGAGCAACAGGAGATGGGGATGCCCGGGGGAGGGGGGGGGCCTGAA